ATGAAAAGTACAATTTTGAGCGATTTCAAAAAAAGGCACGAGTGGAAACCCAAAAGCTTCTACAGTAAGTACACATGAAGCTTACCATCACAAATCATTGATTGAATCCTAATTCAAGTCCTAAACTTCTTGATCTTGGTGCGGTTCAAGAGTCGGTGCTCAAAGACAACTTGGATATAATGGAAGCTAACGGATTTGGATTTGAATTCCGTGAAAAAGGTATTTTCGAACTGTCTCAGAACTTGTGCTATCATCAGCGATTTAGAAGATGGATGCAGCTCTGCTCTGCTAGTATCTGCACCAGTTTTGCATAGTTGGCAATTTGATAAAAGCGGTAGGGTCCTGCGTAAATCAAACGGCGCAAAACATTCAAAACTGTCGTTTTCTTTGCAGACATAGAAGAGATCCTCGCTGTGGTTTCGGAATTCCCAGGAGTCATGTATCGTCCCGCAAAACTTCGGAAAATATTCGCTTCTAGAGCTTGTAGAAAATCAGTAATGATCGGTACTGCACTAACTACAAATCAAATGAAATCGGTAATTTTTCCCCTTTTATATTCATGTGTTAATTTGAACGTTTTCCAGATAGTCAGTCATCTGGGAACACTCGATCAACCGTGGGTCAGTCGTTGCTAGATGATTAAGTACTCTCATTTTTGCTTCAATACAATTTAGAACTGCCCCCACGGTCGTCCAACGCTTCGACATTTGGTGGATCTTAACAAGATAAAATAGCAAAGTTTTAACCACTCCCACTGGCCCATAACAAAAAATTGTATAATCACCGGAAGAAGAACAATAACAAGAAGTTTGGAAGATCTCTAATTTCGCTCTTATCAATTTTACATGTATAAATCAAAGCGAACTCAACATATGTGTTATCTAATTCCACCTAAGTACTACACTTCAAAAACTTTACCATAGAGGTGAAACTATCATTTCGTATGTTGCCTTATTTGCAAATGCGTAGAAGCCAAGAGGGAATGAAACAAGCCGGTTAAAACATTGTAACCTGATGATATACCATACATCATATGCAACTGAGTTTTGTGAAAAGTACAGTACTTTCCTTTGTCATGCCAGTAACTTTTCTTTCGCAAAAGACAGCGATGCCAACACATAAAAAAACAAAATTTATTTGAAAAAAAAAGAACTATGCATAAACTATGTACTGATGCACCAAAAATGGCACTACAAGAA